CTCTCTCTCTCTCTCTCTCTCTCTCTCTCTCTCTCGTCCTACCTCCCTCTCTGACACCCCCACCCCAATTTTTTAAACCAAGATTTCTTTGTCTGTGGACCTTTCCACGTTAATGATACCCTCAGTGTGTTTTCTGACAAGCCTTTGCTACGGCACTAGATATATTTAATGTACACTAATGTTAAATGTCGAAGTAATTGTCCTGACCTTCCTCAGTATGTTGTTTTCTTGGCATATTGTTATCTTTTGTTGTCAGAGTTTTGCCACACAAGCGTACCTCAGTGTAGGAGTCTTTTATGTACACCATATTGCAGTGTGTGTTTGTGTGTGTGACCCGATCTTCCAAAGCAATGTATTTAACTAGCTGTTCCCACTATAACATTATTTAAAAAAAGATTCCTCTTGTTGAAAGGTTTTTGTACCTACCCCACCCTCAAAAGTATACCTTAGAGGTTTGTTTGATAATGTGGTACGTTAGTTTTTCCCTTACATTTTTGTTGTAATATTTTTATTCCCGAAACGTTTGTCAGCTTTCAAAAGACATTCACAAAAGGCACATCGACAGAATAATGAGCAATCGAAAAAAAACTGTGAATAAAAACAATCAAACATGCTTGATTGCAGCAAATCGGATTGAATGTGCTCAAAGTACTATGCACTTCAGATAAATCTAGAAAGAAAGACCGTTTCACATTTTTCCTTTACATTTTTAATTCAGATGTTTTTGTGATCACATCGACACAGATTAGATCATTTAGGAGGCTGGCTTCGAACATGCCTGTCAGAACAAACCCTGGCTGAGAGGAAAGCAACGTTCAAACATAAAGACCGAGATACTCGATAAAAATCTCCCACACGGGAATCGAACTCGGGTCTTCTGCGTTCAACGGCGAATCTGCGTATCGCAACACCACATACGCTGGTCTTCGTGTCTGTACAGGAACTTTACAGGTTCAAACAAGTGTATGCTGTGCCTGAAGGATAAAGATCTGAGTTACTCTCAGGGAGGGGAACTCCTGTTTTGCAGGGCAAGTGTTCACAGCTGCTATGTCAGCTGCAATGAGTTGAGCCCTGAAAAGAATGGCTGAGAACTCTCCTTTCAATACAAGCGTTCCTGCTCTTTTGCCTCTTCCATAAAGCAGTAAAAGTTCCGTAATTCAAAGTTGTTTTCTCCAGTCCTCTATATCTAAATATGTTCCAGTCCATGTTTCTTTGTCTCGTCGACCCTGCCATATTCCCTTTTTTCCCCACTCACCTCCGGATGACCTAATCACAAGTGAAAAGTCAAGTTGAACATGAGGCAACACTAACTACGAGCCAGAACGCACAAGGACGATCTTCCATTAATCTTCCATTATGTTAAAACAACCATTGTCCTCTAAATTTTACTACTCCCTTTTCCATCCCACCCTCCCAATCTCCACCCAACATCCCGAATTCTATACCATCGTCTGTGCTGTTGTTGCTTTAGGCCTTTCGCTGTTACACGCAGAAGACCTGAGTTCCATTTCCATGTGTGGAAAAGTGTTATCGAGTATCTTACCCTTTCTGTTGGGACATTGCATTGTATCCCTCTTAGCCCAGGTTTGTCCAACTAAATGATCTAAATTTTAATTAATTGTGTCAATGGGAGCGTAAAAGGCCTACATAAAAATATAAATAAAATCCTCTCCATCGCTCTTCCTGAAGATATACCCCAGTTTGTTTGTTTTTATTGCTTTTTCTTCTAATTATGTTACCTTAGCCCTCCCACTACTTCCCTGTCCTTCCCTTAGATCTGGGTGGTTTTTGTTGGACCATCCCCAGCCCCATAATTTATGGATTTATTCTACTTCTTCGTGTCTTTTTGGTATGCTTGCTTTCCATGTTTCGAACAGATTCTGGGGTCGGCACTTATATGACCTTATTGTACTGCAAGTGCCGGAAAACACTTACTAGGTGGGCTCCGACCCTTGTTGTTACTTTTAGTTGTGAGGGCCAGCCCGAGCTGAAAGGGGTACGACATCCCAGCAGAAAAACCGAGGTACTCGAAACAAATTCTTCTA